GGGATCTTTTTATGGAATCTCACGAGGTTTATATGTAAACTCAAGAAGTTCTCATCTTTTTTTTGCATTTTAAGACTTTTATACCGAATAGATACATAAATATAATTTTTAAAAAAATAACTTTCATCAGAAATAAATCGAAAAACATGCGCTGATTTACAGACATTTTAATCCTTAAATACTTCACTTCATGTCTAGGGGGGGGGGGGGCTAAGTAATTATGGGTGTAACTATAGTGCGCAGCGTTTGGCCAGAAGGCCCGAGCCGGAGGTCGGTATGAAAGGGGATGTCCCCTCCTCCCAAAACAAAATTTTAAAAAATTGGGACTTCTAGATGGCCGGAAATGGCCAAATTTGGGTTTTTTTTGGTCCGACTGCCTGACGAGCTTTGGCCGATTGGGGGTGGCGGCTTGACCCAACCGATGAAGGGGCCCCTCCCACCCGCTGGCGCCGCCACTTCATGAAAGTGCAGCAAAAAATAAAATTGTCGGCACTTTCCTAAACGGGAATGCCCTATTGATCATTACACAACAATACCGTGAGCCACCAGAAAACATCCTCAACAGTGTACTCACCCTACCAGAAAAATGCCAACAATGATGGACGACTCTCAAATATAATGTTAAAAAATGATAAATATGATGAAATGAATTATAGTATTGTAAGTAATGTTTTCCTTAATTAAGTCCCAGAACGGTAATATTATCGTATTAAAAGAAAAACAATAAAATTGTCCCTTCTTCAAAATCCGTGCAATATCCGCCAACAATACAATACCATCTAGCTCAGATCGGGTGGAGTTTTATCTTGTGAATTTTTTTGTCATTGAAGAACGCGTTTGTTTCGATGATGCGTATGAATTGATATTTAATTTAAAATCAAACTTGGAATGGGGAAATATCCCCTCTCTCTGAATGGGTTTATTTGAAGCTAAATACTGTATGAGGTTTTATAATTCACTGCGTAGCACAACGCGTCTTTAAAGTTAATTTAAAATTAACTTTCATATCAAAAGAACAGGTATAAATTGGCAATTTCTGAGTATATTTTTTCAGAAAACACCATAAGACGGTGGGTGATCTATGGACATTTCCAAAGTGTCAGTAAATTTTACTGACCTATCAAAATATGTCAAAATAGCCAGGAATAGGTGCATTTCCCTTAAATATACAATTTTACCTTAGCAATAACATACAAGAGTTATGACTAGGTGAAAGTCCATTAATTACCTCACTACGATTATTGTAATAAATAAATACGAATGTAACAGATAATTAATCCCAGACCCTGAGACAATCAGGTTCGGATGCAGGTGTTGGCGCCAGGACCTACCCGACGGAGGGGCTAAAAGCCCCGACGGGGGCTATGGGAGCGAATCGAGTCTCACTTGGCTGGGGGACAGGGGGCCGCCAGGGCCCCCGGTGAGGGTCCATGGGAAGCCACGGATATTCGATGAATTATGGCGAATTTTTATTACTTATTTGATAGGCTATCTAAATGAGCATTTTTCGTAAGAGAACGCAAATTATTTTTAATTAGTCTCATTGAATTATTATTATTATTACTATTATTATTGTTATTGTTGTTGTTGTTGTGATGAAAAGTTAACACAAACAATATGGTGGCTAAACGAATATTACATGTAAATATTTTTTTTTATTTGTTTGTTCCCCGACAAATTTCATCATCTTCCACGACGGGGTGGGGGCCTATGCTTCCCTGACCGGGGAGAGCTATATCCCCCAGCGCACCCCCCCCCC